AAAGCAGAATGTGTTGGCCACTGTCATAAGAAACTGATGGTAACTGAAGGTCAGAGGGTTACAGGATGCTATAAAAAATCAGGTTTGGGTTAATGATCCGAGGTGACTACTTTTTATTACAAGAACATCATAGATCAGAATGATGGCCTGTCAAATATCATTTCAGGTGATTCCTTCCCACTATATTCAGCAAAAATATGTAGCTGAAGCTACAGAATATGGTGGCAGCCTTATTTAGAAATTACAGCTAAAATATGCTAAACATATACTGTCCTGTATGTGACTGAATGTTTAATAGAGTCTATAAGGTCCATTCATCATGATGATGGGACGGCCAGATCAGCACGTCCACTGTTACACATACAGTATAATTAAACTTCAGGCTTGCTGCAAACAGGTGTTTTACATAGCACATAAACCTGCAATCCAACCTGGAAGCAGCTGAGCACACAAACACGATATGGCCTCATAATTTCAACATACCACATGTAGAAAAATGTGACGTTCGCTCAGAATTTTGGAACACCTGGCGCCAGAGAAGACTTTAAAAATCACTAAGAAGAAAAAAACTCTTTGCCCTTCACTGAAGCTATTTTTTTTATTAATATATACAGTATCTACCAATGTCTACCAAATGTCTACTTATCTTTCCACAAATATCTAATTACCCTATTTCACAAACTTTAGTGAAATAAGTGATTTTAACTTGTGACAGGATGAGTGTGGTTGGAAGGTCAAGGTGGTAAAACTTCTGCTTTTTTATTTCTTTTTTCACAGTTCACCTGTATGTCTCTGTAGAGTTTTACAAGACTAGAAACAAGCCAGCTTTCACGTCTTCTCACCTGAAAATAGGGCAGAACACTTTTCCTTTCCTTCCACACATACAATGGCTCCGAAAAAGTATTCAGACACACCTAAAAATGTGTGAATATCAAAATATCAAACCAAGTGGAGTTTTTCTTAAAAGCATATCACAAACACTCTTTTCAAGCTAATTTTCAAATGCTAAAAAAAATGCTATTGTTCAAAACAAATTGACAGTTTCTGGTTGTCAAACTGTCTATAGTCAGTGTGATGAACTACATCTCTGGTTACTCTGAATGAGATGCATGAGATGTTGTCTTTTATATTTCTGCCATGCTTTTCCCAAACCAGCAACACGATTTGTAAACAACCGCATTTTATGGAAAACTAAAGGTCTTTCTGGAAAGAATTCAGGCTTGTTTTCATGTAAGAAAAAAAGCCAAGTAGACAGAAATGATGTGTATGACACCGTGTCATTTACATGCCTGAAAGGACAAGCAACAGAATCTGCCATGTATAATTTTATATATTTCAATGTGTGACTAAAAATAATATTAAGATAAATAAATACAAATAATATGTTTATGAAACTTTTTCTTATATGTGTTATCTGCATTTATCTATATTGTGATAAGGAAAGTAATACAATAGGTCTGTTACTGTGCAAGCAATCTATTTTAATTTTTCTCTTTCTCATTCAGATCAAATTAATATGTGTGGCAAATCTGTGCAGATTTTTTGTGGCTTGTTTGATTTTTATTTTGGCCCTAAGACACAAATCACACCACATTACGCCACTCACTTCATAAAGAAATTCTGTGGTGGTAAAAACATCTCCTGCTGGGCCTGAAACTTTAAAGGGCCACCAGATGCAGAATTATGGAACAGTTTCTTTTGAATTGTTTTAGTATGTTTAGCTATATCCTAGTCACTCACGTTGCATCCAGTCAAAAACTGTACCTTTGTTCAAATCATGACCAGATATTTACTCAAAATATTGGTTTTGTTCTTTTTATCTGCTTTAAGCATGTAATTATAAACATCTCTCCATTAAAAAAAAGCTGCATCGTATGTAGATAATTTATTTCACATTGAAATAAATTTAAACCATAATTTAAATAGATTTGAATAGTTCAAAATGAAGCACTTTAATCTCTGATGGGTTTAACTCATTTGCATTGGATAAATCCTGCATAGTGGTGAGCATAAATCATACTTTGTTCTGCTGACTTGAGGAAAAGTTTAGGTGATGTATGGGTGGTGTGCTTTACAGGTGGACTATGAGTAAATCACCGGGTGCTGTTTAAAAGTGTCAGATTTATGAGGAGAAGCGTTCCTCCTCTTTACCTGGTAAACCTACAAACAGTGAAAATAGCTCATGTCTAACCAGTACCTGGATCTAATTATAGTGAAGACATTTATTATCGGTTTAATCATGCATTTGGTGACAATTAGCAATACACATCATTACAATTTAATTAATATTATTAGTTTCCTTTCCAAAATATATTATTAGCATTACAATATAAAAAAAAGTCAAATAGTCCTTAATTTCTTAATGTTTATTAGAATAATAACCATTTACTTTACTATAATTTATGTACAATTATAATGAATTCATCTGTCTTTCAAAATAAAACATTATTAATTTCCACGTTTAAATGAAGAAAAAAGTCCCAGATTCAAATTTGAACCGCACTGTATATGTTCTGACCCTGTTTAGAATAGTTTCAAAGTCACTTAAAATATTGTCCATTGCAAAACCTCATTCAGAATAATAACAAAAACCACAATTTTGAATCATACGGTTTTAATTACATTCTGGAGATTGTTTATATACACCTTAATTTTGCTAATTTTCTTCCACTCTGACAGACAAACTTGCACAAGCACATAAGGCAATCATATGTGTGTGGCAGCAATCTAATAGGAGAGATATATAGGAATAAATAATATAGTTAAATAAAAAAAAAAAAGTGATCAAATTTACAGATTAGAATCATTTTTGGATAGCAGTCATTATAGTGACTGGCAGAAATTCCTATTCAGCCACTGTGCTATAGAAAGCATTTAATACATTAAAACAAAATGTATAATACAACAGTAGTTTGTTAGAAACACTAAATTTAGATACACACCAAGCACCACACTGTGAACAGAAACAGTCTTGGCTATATGTGCCTCTGTACTTACATTGATGAAAAGGCAATTATGAATAATGGGTCAATTGGTTAAAAGTCTACTCTCTTTCGCACAGAAAGCTGATAATTATCCCCAAAGAGACATTTTGATTGATAAGACTGACTAAAAGTACAATTGTCTTTTCTCTACATTGTTCTTGGGGATTAAAGGGTTAGTTCACACAAAAATGAAAATTCTGTCATTAATTACT